AATAAATTAATATCTTTAACCCGGAACTATTAATTACAAAATATTTATAACTGCTTGGTACAATTGTAATCGGCTTCGTATATTTTCGCGACCGCGTAAGACAATGCGAGCATGGATCGGAAACTCGACCTTTCCGACCATGATCAACAGCTTGTCCACAGCGCGGAGCGGAACCTAGGGCTTTCCACCTGCCACATATTTATGGTAATGACTTCGGGAACATGGATCGGAAACTCGTTCTTTCCGACCATGATCAACAGCTTGTCCACAGCGCGGAGCGGAAACTAGAGCTTTCCGCCTGCCACACATACAAAGTAATGCCTTCAGGAACATTGATCGGAAACTCGACTTTTTTGACCATGATCAACAGCTTGTCCACAGCGCGGAGCGAAAACTAGAGCTTTCCGCCCGCCGCACTCAAAAGTAGACTTGAGACTTGGCCTCGCCAGCTCCTAAACCTGCTATTTTATATTGATTATTAAAAATTAATATGGGTGTCTCCTGAAAAGTGTCAACCAAGACCAAAAAAAAAATTGAATTTTGCCTGGACAAAGTTTATAGATGCCAATCGATAACTACATATATTGTCAAATATTATGTTACCAGGCTAGTCTGATCTATGTTTTTAGTGCGAATAAAACTACATTATTCCACTTTCTGGCCCAACGTTTCGCTAAAACATTTTTAGCATCTTCAGGGGCAATCCAGATTTATTAAATCTGCCACAAACCAAAAATACAAAGGCACATTGTAATCAAAAATTAATGAATATAGCATACAAACATACATATACATATATGGAATTAAAAATTATATAAAAACAATTTGAGGACAAAAAACTCACAATGTTTAAGAACTTTGATTAACACCTAAATACAGCGCATCTGTACCATCTTTTGTGGTAGCTTTGTCAATACTAAAATAATAAACATTTTTATTTGTAATCATAAACAAGAAATGTAAGCGGCCGCAATGTTGTCCGTATCTTCTTTTCTGTTCATTGTCTTTTTCCTTCTTTGCATTATCCTAAGGCTTTCTAGTGTATATCGGGTTGACTCCCTTCTTTCTTTGTCGATAATCTTTGTGTTTGCGAAATCAGCTGTATGTCCACTTGTTATGATGTGTTGTGATAATGCTGTACTGCTTTTTTGTTTTCTTATATCTGCTTCATGTTCGCCTAGTCTAACACCTAAAGGCCGCTTAGTTGTCCCAATATACACTTTTTGACACTCTGTCGTCAATATACACAAAAACTAAGTGCTCAGTAGATATCCAACAACAAAACAATGTAGTGTATGAAATTAAATGTAAGGGAAATGAAATTGAGGAATGCGAAAAAGTGTATATTGGGACAACTAAGCGGCCTTTAGGTGTTAGACTAGGCGAACATGAAGCAGATATAAGAAAACAAAAAAGCAGTACAGCATTATCACAACACATCATAACAAGTGGACATACAGCTGATTTCGCAAACACAAAGATTATCGACAAAGAAAGAAGGGAGTCAACCCGATATACACTAGAAAGCCTTAGGATAATGCAAAGAAGGAAAAAGACAATGAACAGGAAAGAGATACGGACAACATTGCGGCCGCTTACATTTCTTGTTTATGATTAGAAATAAAAATGTTTATTATTTTAGTATTGACAAAGCTACCACAAAAGATGGTACAGATGCGCTGTATTTAGGTGTTAATCAAAGTTCTTAAACATTGTGAGTTTTTTGTCCTCAAATTGTTGTTTTTATATAATTTTTAATTCCATATATGTATATGTACGTTTGTATGCTATATTCATTAATTTTTGATTACAATGTGCCTTTGTATTTTTGGTTTGTGGCAGATTTAATAAAGCTGGATTGCCCCTGAAGATGCTAAAAATGTTTTAGCGAAACGTTGGGCCAGAAAGTGGAATAATGTAGTTTTATTCGCACTAAAAACATAGATCAGACTAGCCTGGTAACATAATATTTAATAAATTATGAACTGATCGGGCAATAAAACATACATATATTGTCTTTCATTCACCAAAATATTGGACTAATTGGTCCATTCCGTTTCAAGATATTTGCAGATTTCCAACTACACTTTCAAATTTTTTTTTTTTTTTTTCGGAGAAACCATACCTTCCAGAAATCCTTCATAATTATAGCACACGATTAAAAAGAACTGGAAATCTATACAAAAATTTAGTACAGCTTATGTTCTCTAAGCCTTACAACAAAAACAATGGAAAAATATGTTAGGAACGGTCTAAAGTAAAATTACAAATTGTGTGCTTTTTTCAAGCGTTCGGACGCAAAATATAATTTACATGTAAAAAAAAGAGTCGTAACGTTTACTTTATTTGTCAAAATTTTAATAGAAAAGCTAGTTTTGGTTACTCTTGCCAGCCGCATAAATTTTGTTTTCCGAAACCTATAGGATTATCGAGTGTTAGTATATTGAAAATCGGAACGTACGAACACGAACGCTTCAAATAACTTTTGTTAATTTTGTTTTATGTAGGTACTGTTACTCACAAAATTGAGTGTACGGGTTTTTTAGTACATATTTGAGATTTTTTTTTGTTAATTTCGTATTAAAATATGGCTTATATTTTAGCAAACCCCTTTTAAATTCAAGTATGAAACTGTTTACGAAAATTATGAAAAATCTGCAAAGTTTCAGCAAAATTGCAAACTTTTTAACAAGAATTTCTAATAAAAACAATCAGGTATGTATATAGTTTAATAGCCCATTCAATCAGTTTTAATATAATAATGTGCAAATTTCAAATGTCTAAATTTTCTCGATGATTTTTGAGAATTGTTTATACATTTGAAATTTACACATTATTGTACTAAAACTGAATGGACTATAAAACTGCATATCTGATTTTTTTTTTGAAATTCTTGTTAAAAAGTTTGCTTTGCAGAATTTTCATAATTTTGGTACACCGCTTCCTATTTGGATTTAAATGGGGTTTGCTAAAATATAAGCCATATCTCTAACCAAACAAACATAAAAAAAAACTTTGGCATGTAAAACATTGCGAATATTAACAAAAACAAACCGTATACTCAATTTTGTGAGTAACAGTATATAGATATAGTACATATCGACGCCTCCAAACCATACTATGCTACGTCAGCTTAGACCTAGTCAGACTTAGCGTAGTATGGTTTGAAGGCGTCAATAACGACGTCTGCTTGTACGAAGAAATGACTTCAACGAACCTTCATAAAGGCCTTCATATAGATGTAGATTTATTTACAATAAAACCCCATATTTGCATTAAAAAACGAGTGCGTTTAAATTCTTGAACAAAAAATTGTATCCATTGGAAAAAATCGGAACGTCCGAACGGGAACGTCCGAACAACTTCGAACAGTGTTTGGCAGCTACTAAACATCGTTAGGAAGCTTTAAGTTGACGCAGTGGTTATGGCTGCTTATTATTCTAACAACTATTCATACATAATCTTTTTCCACCTTTAGCAGATTCGCAGAATTTAGCAAAAATCATCAGTAATCTTCGATACGAGTTCCATTTTGGGAACGTCCGAACGGGAGCTTTTATCGCTAGCATTTGGGGAAAGTATTTTTATTGATTTCAGATAGGTATTGATGATGACTACTCATGTCAAAAAATGTGTGTTCATTCAGAGCCTACTATAGTTTTTATAATGAAAAGCGTCTCCAAACGGAACCTCCGTAACGCAGGAAACACCCATATGTTAAATTAGTCCACTCTGTAATACACTGAGGAGCAAATAATGTGAATTTTCTTGCGATATATTCGCAATATATGAAGACTTTTTTGTAATTTAGTTTCGGAATTCACATTTCCAATGTTTATTTCATCAGAAGGCCATAAAAATAATAATTAATGCAAGCAGATAAAGAAGAAAATTGCAAAAAAACGTAGCAACTAGATTGTTCCAGTTTTGCACCCGACAGAAAATTTTACCATTTGCTTGACTTTTAATAAATTGGCCATAACCAATTTGAATATTTTAGTTTTTATGGTCATCTTGGGATACTTTCGCACAGGTTTTAGACGAAATCTGTTGAGAACGCTACCGGTTTTCCTCAACGCCATGCGCAAGGTCTTGCATGAGATTGGGCGAATTTTCGCAATTGAACAGTGGCATTTTCAAACAATTCCATAAGTTTTCTGTTGAATCAATTCTGGGCTTTACGCAGGTCACTCCATGATTATAAAAACTTGGGATTTATACCTATTTGGCCCCAGTTTCGGAGGATATTTCTGATCATTGTCCGGTTAAAATTGATAAAAGCCTGCGAAAAATATCCTCAGAAATTGCCAAATTCTTTGAAAATGCTCATTTGTTGTCACTTTTCTTTTTACCATCGATTTTACCACAGTTCTTACTCCCTAAGGCGTAACACGGCCCTACATCATTAAATGTACACATACAAACGTAATAGTTTAAATATTTTGGGACGTTAGGCGTATCCCTGATGCAGGTGCACAGCACTTTAACCAATATTCCGACTTAAAGTAATTAATTTTATCCTCAGGGACGTGCCCTAATTAATAGTAAATTTTGGCGGAATACTGTGGTCGTTTAAGAAGAACTTGTAAGTTCCCGCTTCAAAATAATACCAATCCAATGTTTTTCTTAGTAAAAATACGTTCCTGACTAAAAATTTTTCTGGACAGGCTTTCTCCTCTTTATCTTTGTGCTGCAGTAACTTGTTCCCATGTCTTACATAATGTCCAGTCACTTGCTTTGTGGTGATAAAACAGTAATTTTTGATTTGGAACCAAAGTTTATTTTGCATTTCGAGACCCTCCAATATGCCTAGCCTGGCAAATTGCAATTTTTTGTGGTCTCTCGATCTTGCAGACTGAGGTCCGCCCTTTTATCGCTTGTTTAGATAACCATAAAACGGAAATTTGGCCGATATGATTTCTTTCTTTACAGCGTGGCCTTTCTGACCGTTTTGCAAAAACTTTAATTTCTTTTTGCTTGGTATGTGCACTTAATGCACTCACAGCGAAAATTCCACGCGCCTTGAATACAAAATTGCAGAAAAAGAGCCAGAAGTCCTCTTTGAATTATAAAATTCAGCAATTACTAAGAGGGTGCAAAACTGGAATAATCCAGTTCATTTTTGTTTGGTAATTTTTTTCTGAGTTTCCATATGCGAATCTTAAAATTTTTATGATCAAACGTTTAGTTAAACATCGGTAAGGCGAAATGCAAGTTTGAATTACCATAAAGTAAATAAACTGAAGAAGTACATTACCACAAACTTAACTTTCCGTTCTATTGTTCCAGTTTTGCTCTTCAGTGTATATCACACATATTTAAATATCTTAATGTTTTATTCTCATTTGTCTGTAAAAAAAACATTTTTCTGTAGACCAAATAAATAAATAAATAAATGATTTTTGAACAAAGTTGTAAGATTTTTTTAATATGGTTTTTGTTAGGTAAACAAACAAAAGAAAAATAATTGTGTGGGGTTTCTATTATTTTGGCCACAGGTGTATGTATGTATGTAGTTCATATGTATAGCGATCATGCTACTTATTATTTTCATCATAAATGTTCCTAAAACTGTCCTATTGATACATTCATTCACTCCCTGTCATAAACTAAAAATCTGTTGTTGCTCGCAATTTCCTTATTTTTTAATTCTTTATAGCTTGAGTTTTTTGTCTGGTCCCTGAAATTATGCTAAAGTCTAGTGAGTTGATAAAGTTATTAAAATTGTATAATTGATTCATTCAACTTGATTGATTTGTTTGTTATTTTATATAATTGCGTAGGCATGTAATGATAATGAAGATGATTATAATACATCAACAGCCTCATCACCTGGAGGACAAGGGTGGGCTCAGCGGGTCAAGGGCTGGTTTAGTTCGGTACGTTTTCTAGTAATTACGAAAATAAATATTAAAATAATGAAATAAACCTCATGAGTCTTCTTAAAATTAAACTTTTTACATTTGTTCAATTCAAAATTCAGAAAATACTGAGTTATTTTTCTTTTAACGATACTCAAAGTATTTCCTTTGTACTTGTTTAAATGAGAAAGAAGACCGCTCACAAGCCATGCCTAAGCCCTGTGTGCTCCGCCTTTAAAAAATTTGAATTCCAATGAAAGTTTAATGTTTCTTAGTCACAGTAATGACCACAATGATTTTGAGATTGCAAAATTGAAGTCGGTAAATTGAATTCACAGCACCCATTATTAAGATATTTACTCAATAATAATCTATAAAGAATGCTTTCAATTATCTTTTACTATCATATATGCATAATTTTTATCTTCACTTATGCGAGCAAATTTATTTTCTTTATGCTTTTAAAACATTTATAAATTAGCAATTGTTTGCTCATTGCTAAATAATTTTGTCTGTTTTAATGTCATGTTACAAACTATATCACAATAATTGAGCATAAATCAGAAGTAGCTGCAGGGCTCTGTTTACCAGTTTCCATAGAATTGCATATATCTGGAAATATGTATATATAGGCTGTTGCTGTATGAGCTGTTTCCTTTGCTTTCATGTGCACATTACTGTCTTGACATGGGCTTAGTAATTTTTTCCATACTTTTATCGAAATTACTAAAAAATCATAAAAAATACAAAACATTTATTAATTAAATTTTTACAGGGCACTGAAAAGAAAAAGAAGAGCACTAAACTAATTGAGCTTCCTATGGAAGTCAAGACCCATGGTTTCTCAACGCCTGACTTGCAAGATTTGGTTCAACAGGAGGCTAAAATGATTGCAAATGACGCAAGGGAAACCCAACGCGTTGATGCTAGAAATGCGCTCGAGGAGTACGTTTACGACATGCGTAACAAACTTCAAGTAAGTACAAATCTACAGTCTCTTGTTACTTTCAAGGACCTAAGTTTTTTTTTTTTGAACTTTTGCAAATAATGTACTAATCCGGCAGGTTCTGCAATTCACTTCCGAGGGAATTTAAGTCAAGTGCGATTTGAATTAAAATTGGCAGGGGTTGAAATTCACTCGGTAGTGAATTGCAGAACCTGCCCGAATAATATAATTATAATAATAGAATGGCGCTTACAATTTGTGGCGTACGTGTTGATGTTGGCAGTTGTACGCCGACTCCAAAGAGCGATTTTATTTTTTGGAGAAGCTGTTTTTGATGGCAGAATACACAGGGAGGTTGCCATTGGTTGCCTAGGGGCGAGCGCTATTCGAAAAGATACTTTTTTTGTTTTTCTATTTTTTGATGTTGGGTTGAACCCGCCTCTGCGTTTGTTAAAAAATACTAAAATTTTAATTAATTCATTAGTATCTCACATATTTTAACACTGAACGAAAACCTTTGGATCTACCAGCCGGACGCTATTACTAATGGAACAAAATTGAGCAAACAAGCTATTACGCTTGGGTTGGTATCGAAATTCTGCTTTACAAAATTCTGGTTTTCAAAAATATGCTTACTCAAAATTCTGTTATCCGAAAACCCAAATTTCCAGAAAGTAAAATGGAGAATCAGTAAGAAAGAAAAAATCAGTATTTAAAAAATAAGCCGCTTATAAGAACTATTAAAAAAAGAAATGAGTCACAGTTTTTTTTAAGAGAATTGCAAAAAATATTGTAATTTAGTAAAACATAATATTCTTTGCATATATTGAAAATAAAAGTTTATTTAGACGATTGTAAAAACACGCTGTAAGAATTTGTATACTTTTCCTAAATGTAGATTTAAGCCAAAGATGCGAATATGGTAAATTTTGCCACACAAAAGTAGAATTTTGAAAGACGAAAGTGCGAAAAGTTGAATTTTGCGAAAAAAATTTAAAATGCGGAACTTTTAAAAGCAGAATTTTGAAAAAGAAGTATTAAAAAAACAGAATTAAAGAAATACATAATTTTGATCGAGTCGATTTTTTTTTAAATTTTGCGATGTAGAATTTTCTAATGCAGCGTAATGAGACAACGTTTTAGAAAAAAACCCAACCTTTGATTTCATTTTATTCGGTTTTATTTATATGTATATTTTCTTATATGGTTTTTTTTTTATAGGGCCTACCAAAAATAGGTTACGTTCCATAGGTCTATTAGAACATGTCGAATCAGGCAGGTTCTGTAATTCACTTCCGAGTGAATTTTAACCAAATTCACTTTAAATCCGACATTCGGGGATCTTTGTTTCACTTACCGGTTAATTTCCACTTTTCTTTCTAATTTTAGTGCTCTGCATTTTTATATGAAATATATTGCCGTGTTTATTTATTACAATAAATAAATATTTAAATAGAATAGTTGCAATTCTTCTCCAAAAAATGGAAAACCAACTTGGCTTTGGTTCTAAAAAAGGCGTTGTCTTACATCCCTATTCTGCAACTCTTTCGTATTCGGATTTTGCTACGAATCGTAGAAATACCGGCAGGTTCTGTAATTCACTTCCGAGTGAATTTGAGTGAAATGCGATTTCAATTCAAATTGGCAGCGCTTTAAATTCACTCGGAAGTGAATTGCAGAACCTGCCCGATGGTATGCTGCATTCCGAATCGTATTTTTGAGCTTTCGAAAACTCGTAACAATGGCTAAAAACTTTAACATACACGTGTAATCATTAAACTTTAATATAAAGCAAATGTTTAAAATTTCCGAGCACTAGTTTATTAAAAAATTCGGCTTGCACTATGAAGTTTTTGGTAAATTCGATGTGGTTTCTCTGTGCAAAAATATTGTGTATGGCGTAGCCGGAGCAGGCAAAACAGAAAGGTGAATTCTACTTAGTAAGGGATATAATCAATCAAAGCAAGCCCAACGGGTGGTCTACCAACAAAATGCATATTTTCAATAGCTTGGAAGAAGCTCTTATTGCATTAACTAGATTGAGAACCAGTTCTTTAGGCATAGGAGGAGTTATGGCTTGTGGTTCAACAATTCAACCAGAAGCTGATATCTTTGTGAATTCATTTGCATAGCGCGCTCTTACTCCGCCGCTATAATTGCAAATACAATAGAATCCATCGTTTCCTTCAAAATATGTAAAATCAAACCATTTTACTATAAGGCTGGATTTCCACTAGGCATTAAATGGCAAAAATGATAAATGACAAAGTCGGGCATTAAAAAATTATCGTGTCATTATGTGAAAAAATAGTCATTGATTTCATTTCCGCATGGCATTTTTTTAAATGGCTTAAATTTTTTGTCATTTTAATGCCAAGAGGAAATTCGGCATAAGTAAGCACATGATTCGTGTTTTTTAATTCCTTTCCACTTTGTTTTCCTTCATACAGCTATCTTCGAAAAACAACTGATAGTTGGCAATGCTGCCATGTTTCCGCAAGGGTTGCAGCATGTGGATTTTTCATTTTTCGTAACGTAGCTACGAATTACGAATTACGAAAATTCGGGTTCTAGAATATGGGTGTTAATGTGGATGTTATATCGACTTTTTGCGCGAAATTGTCTCGTATTTGTCACAAACCAAATTTTACAGGGAGCGTTTTTTCTACTTTCCATTTTTTTTTGTTTTACTACGGGCGTGTGTGAATCGGCAACAAAGTTCTGTGGGGAACGCTGGTCAATGATATTTTTACTATGGTGAGACAGTTTTGCCAATCTGCTGTGTAAAATCAAATCTTTTTTTTTTT